CGAGGGTTGAAGCCCGCTATTAGAAATGTTGTATAATTACAGCCATATTGGTCACTAAGGAGTGTCCTAACCTTAATCTTAAAAATAGAAAGACAACAAAAACAACAACAGAGCAAGCAACAATCTTCGTTTCATTTAGACAGCGGTCCTCATTCAGGCAGCCACCTACAGCTGACAAGGGCACCTTTGGAGTTGTCAAGACGCGATCAAGAAGTGATAAGACAGATCTGAGTGGAAAGAAGCCAGAAAATGGTAGCTCTCCTAGCTTAATGTCTGTCAGGAGATGTTTCAGATGTCACGACAATGATCACATAGCTTTGAACTGTCCCATGGGCAATTATTTCATTCACACGACAGGGAGTCATCGAGAAAGTGGGGGAATAGGAAACAGAGGATAATCTAGAGGAAGAACTTTAGCTTCAAAGTGACGAGGGAGAGACGTTTGTCATACAGAGAATGTTGCATATGGAGCTGGAGAGAGATCAGACATGACCAAGTCACATTATCTTTCGCACCAAGTGTACAATGAAGGATAGAGTTTGCAGTTTTATTAGCGACAGAAGGAGCAGTGAAAATGTATTATCCAGTTTGATGGTGAAGAAATTAGGTGGTTGGCCGCACAAAAATATGCTTTGTGCTATTCCCCTACCTGATTGAAGAGGAGAAACGAGATATGTGTAAATCTACAGTGTTTTGTTAAATTCTCAATTGCAGACCAAATACAGGAGCAAGTATGGTGTGACATGGTTCCGATAGACGCATGTCATATTTTGTTGAGGATATCTTGGTTGTTCGACTGAAAAACACAGCACAACGGCTTAAAAAATACTTACTCATTTAAAAAAGATGGAAAACGCATTGTGTTATTACCTGTCAAGGATGCGAGAGGTGTTCACGAAACAGAGGAGGCATTAGGCTCAAGGGCCACCTTATGTAGTCAGTTTGAGATGCTCCAATGGCATTGCCGTTGGTCCTACTAGAGGAAACTGAGAAGAGTGAGATACCAATGCACCATTACAGCCACTGCTACGTGACTTCCAAGATGTGATGACCAACAGTCTTCCAGAGGGATTGTCGCCCCTAAAAGACATTCAAAATGTCATAGAACTCATTCTTGGATCAATATTACCAAACTGGTCCTGCCTATAGGTTGAGACCTGCAGAGTATGAAAAGTTGCAGTGACAGGTACAGAATATCGTCGTGAGATGATTGGTCAGAAAGAAAGTAAGTCTGTCTGTCGTCATCGCCCTAATGATACACAAAAAGAATAGTTCGTGGCGGATGTGCATAGACGGTAAGACCATCAACAAAATTAATATCAAGTATTTGTTCCCCATTCCACAATTGGATGATCTCTTGGATTAGTTGAACAGAGCCATTCTCTTTTAAGTGGAAGTACACTTATCTAAACACACACGTTATAGATTAATTTTGATGATCCATGTCTTTAAGCACATTGCAGGAATACATTGTTGTAAAAATGAGCAAATAACCTTTCATTTTCAGATTAATGCTCATATTTGGTTCGTTTGCATGCATGTGCTTGTGGATTCAGTTGTGATTTAAAGATTTCAAACCTTTTTGTGCGCCTAAAGCAGTATATGCTGCTCGCTTTTAGTCTGCAGCTTATCCATATAGCCTTCATAGAGATTTTTTTTTAAAGACAGGCTATTTCTATGCACATAGGCAAGTCATCCGATCTTATAAATCATGTTTAAGTTCTATTTTTGGCATTTATGAATTCATTTGGCACAACGTGTATTGCAAATGAATTGCTTTTGACATTTCATTTTTCTATGTTTATACTTGAATTTTCATTTTAGTTACATTAATTAGTCCAAAAACTCATTAAAATTTTGTTCTTTGCAAGTTCGTTCACTGGTAGCATTGGCAACATCCCATTGTCAAACCCCATGTAGGGAGCAATTAGGGGAGTACTAAGCTATCCATCATGCCAAAAAAGATGTGGGGTTTATTAGACATAACAATCAAATTTTTTGTCAGCCCCGTGAGCATGCAGCCTAATGATGATTACAAGGAACGAATGAACCGATGATTTTACTTTTAAGTATTTACACGTAACAAGTTGCCATTATGACCATACATGTCATGACACAAAGATTAGAATTATAAAATAGCACGTGTTGTCGTGTGTAAGAGTACATATCTTAAAACATCAAGTAGGATATGATGCACAAGCAAACGAGCTTTAATGCCTTAGAAAATAAATTTTAAAATTATTTTTTAAATTTAGCTAAAACTTATTTAGAATATGATAAAATATTTTTTTAAACTTTCATTAAGATCTTAATTGTGTAATTGAATGAATAATTCAGTAGTAAATTACATGTTATATTCTCAAAAAATAAATTTAAAATTAAAAATGGAATGGTGAACATCCACAAAACTTGTGAGCTCCATAAAAACTTTATGGGTCTCTACAAAGGTAGATTTAAGGAAAGTTTTAACGATGGCTACTTACCATTTAAATTCGAGTCAAAAATTTGTTGATTAAAATTGTGAAGATTTACTTTAGTTTTAATGTTTTAATTGATTATAGATCAAACATAAACCCGACACACAAATATATTTTTAATGCTATGAATTAGTGGAGCAACCTATTGCAATATTGTTGCTAAAACCATAACACTCTCCTTTCTCATGTAGCCCAAGAGCATTTTAAGTGAAAACTTTTCTAATTAATGAGGAGAGATGCTATGAAAGATGATTACTTCCCTGCAAATGAAGATTAGTTAATAGATTTTAAAAAATATTAAGCTTCATTTTTTCTTCGCATCTATAAACACGTTTAAGAGCCCATTTTTTATGTTTTTAGTTTTCTTTGATTATTAATGTTTAGTTGTGCTTGATGTTATGATGGAGAACACATATAAACATTTCACTTGCCACGAAGACAGGAGATAAATAGGCGGTCTCTATGTTTTCCTAGTAGAGAACATGGATGATTGTTTCCCTTACCACGAAAAAAAAGACAGAGGTGATCTCAGAGTCCAGAAGGCGGTCCTAAGGTAAAGGTAAATTTATAAAGACTTCTCCACCTATGAAGAAGTGATGAATTATTTTAGCGCCTAAAAAAATGCTAGGAGGGGTGAATAGCTAGGCATGGACATAGGCTCCAATCATAAAAAGTAAAAAAACATGTTTATTCGTATAATTTTATTTGCTCTTACATTTTTAATCTAATAGTTGATTTTTTTTTTACATGTGATAGAGTTTCATAAACTAAATTTTATTATATTCTTTTGCTCATCATTGCGCGCCTCATATTTGATCTAATTTATATTTTATACTTAAAACAAGAAAAATATAAAAAAAATGTATATATCACATTATTTTTGTCTCCTAATTCATCTGCTCTCCTGACATAGGTTGTGTAAACCGCAACTTCTAACCCACCATGTCAAAAAAAGAAAAAAAAAGACTATAGAGTTTTCACCTGCACAAGAAAAATATATGCATACATGTTTTACCCACAACATCTAAAAGATGCAGATGGGCAATTATGTGTTCCACAACGAGGCAATTCTCTTATTATACCTTGCCTGCAAGGTCGTCAACAAGTTCTAGCAAAATTTTGAAGCAAAAACTAACACATTTTTTGTACTTTTACTTTTCTCATTATGTTTATACGTGTATATATACATATACATGTGGGCGAGCGCACGAGCAGACACACACATATACATCTTTTTGTCTGTGTGCATGTGCGTGTGTGTACGAACACATACAAAGATGAGGTTATCAAGCTTGGCAAGAGAGTTTTCAACTTTAGTTCCCAAATATCTCAACAAGCTAAGACACTTTGATGATGGAGAAGAGGAAATTGGTGTTGATGATGTGCAAAGAAGAGCAACCAATTGTGTTATGCTGCAATCGCAATATGTATATTCAACAATAAACAAATGTCACAGAAGCAGCGAGAGATTTAGAAGTTAGGACAGGAGTGAAGCTTACGTAAGTTACTAACTGAGATATCATGAGAGTAGTAGGCATTAGACAACAGAAGGGAAAGAGAGCAAGGGAGTGTGTGAGCATATTGGTGAGAAAATGTAAGCGGTATAAGGAAAAGGCATGTGAATGAGAATGGGGATGAGAAAGTTCTGCGCAGAAGCAAACGAAGACATGGATAGAGCTAGATTTGGCATAAAGGTGTCATTTGTAGTTCATGAGAACCACTAAAAGGAGAAATAAATGGAGTTCCATATGAGAGAGTACAGTGGAGTAATGGCATTTATGAGGGAGAGCAGACATGCAAGTGAGGGACTGGAAAAAAGGTAGTGAGGCGAAGAGAGAAAAGGAGATGAGGACCGAAACAAAAAGTTTAGCATTAGATTAATTTTATATTTCTTTTTTACTTTTCTTTTAAAAGGCAACATGGCGATCAAGACTATGACTTTGAGATAACAAACATAACAAAATGACATGGATTGTTAGAAGTCCCTTTTTAAAAAAAAAAATTTAATGTGTAAACATAAACACTTGTATATAAATATAAAATTTTAATGATGAAAAACATATATTATTATTAATTTTAACTTTTAATGTTATATATATATATATATATATATAATGATTTTACATACTACCCCAAATATTTAGATAATACCAAACTCCATCGCCCCAATTAAGGTCTGTCTGGGGTGTCTTCAACTTCTGAAAAAAGATCATTGTAAAGCTATGGTGGAGAAAGTTAAATAATACATGTGTATTAACTCCGCTCATCTGCATCTCAAATTCATTTTCGACCTGGCATGCAAGTAAAATTTTCTACCTTTTCCTCGTGTAGGAAACTTGTTGATGCAAGGGTCTTTCCCTGCAACTTCTAGCATTCTAAATGTGTGAGTGTAGTCTATTATATGAGATGATCAATAATAGACATTGAACTCGTTCTGGCCTACATCCCTCTTTTGTTATTGTTGTTGCATTCAAACTGCCACAATATAGTCAACCTAATTATTGCTACAAGTACATTCAATACCTTATAACCAACAGTTTCTCCAACAGCTTCTCCCCTTTCATATGAGATCCTCTCGGCAACTACATTCATGAATCCCAAATAATTATTTTTTTCATGAGAACCTGCAAGATGATGAAAACATAACTGTAGACAAGATTAGATAGAATACCTGAAATAGCTGAAATACGCCTTGGTTGTGTGCACACAACTTTACATGTCTCGGCTTTACTCCACATGTGATCCAAAATATACTGAGGAACCTGAAATTAATTGTGATCGTAAGCCAAATGAAGCACTCAAAGTCAATTAGCAGTTTTTAAATAAAAGTTTGATTTAGGTTTCTAAGCTTTGGTTACTCTGTTATTAAAGTATTATAAAGTGAGGCAGTGAAGTATGCACGATCTCACATGTGATCCAAAATACACTGAGGAAGCTGAATTTAATTGTGGTCGTAAGCCAAATGAAGCACTCGAAGTCAATTAGCAGTTTTTATAGAGTGAAGTATGCACTTTCGCCTGAGTTGACTAAGCCAATTATTGGTAGAACAATTTTGCATCATTATTTGAAATTAAATTGGATGTTAAAAAATTCCTATTATTAAAGGCCTACAAACATCAATTTCAATAAAAAAGAATTCATTAGTAAATGGAGCAAATCTCAAAATCTATTCCCCATAAAAACACTAGTCATTTGTCTTGAAATGAGCAATTTGTAGTGTTTCTACTTTGGTTAAATTTAATTAATTTTTTTTTAATATTTTTTATATTAGTATATTTTAAACATATTTATGATGCTGATCCTATAGAAAACGAGTTGTGTTATCTAATTTGTAGGCTGGTTTAGTTCGATTCATTGTCTTGATTGTTAGGATCAACAATCCTTTTTCCCAGTGATGAGCTATTCCTAGTTGTTTACCACAGTTTTTGTTGGCTAATAGATACTATAAATGGTCAAACCATTGAATCATATCCTGGGCTTTCTTAGATGGTCTATTCCCACTAATCAGCTATTCGTTGTTGTTTACCACAGTTTTTTTTAGCTAGTAGACACTATAAATGGGAAAACCATTGAATCATATCCTGGGCTTCCTTTGATGTTCTGGCCCTATAGCACGAGAATACATAATTTGTTTTCTTGCTTTTGCACTGTTGCAAGCTTTTGGTACTATTTACTCTTCAATTTCGCATTACCATGTGCCTTCGGAAATATATCGGATGTTGTGATTCTACAAAGCTGTAAATTTAGGCCCTTTGTGATTATAAATAAGAATCATGTACGAAAACAATCAGCAGCTTGATGAAATATGTGTTCACTTAAATATAATAATTCTTGAGATATTCTCTGCAAACATTAATCATATAATGAATTATTAATATGATATTATTTTATTCTTGAATCTTAGTGAAGGAAGAGAATTTTAGTCTCCATTTTTAAGAATAAAGGGGATGCACAAGAGTGTGCAAATTATAGAAGAATTAAGTTGATGTCATACTCTAAAATTATGAGAGAGGGTAATTGAACATAACTTAGGACGTGATATAAAGATTTGAAATAATCAGTTTGGTTTATGCTAGGCAGGTCTACTATGGAAGCTATAAATATATTGAAAGGCTTGATGGAGAAGTGCAGAGAGAATACGGAGGCACTACATATCATTTAAATGTATCACCGCAACTCCTCTAAAATTACTCACTGGAAATAGGATTACATAATTATCCACATGCTAAACTACATAACGCTGGGAAGAGAACTTTCAACATTTGAAAGAAAAGCTTTAAATATTAATGCATAAATGACAATTTCATGTAGCAGTACAGGCAAATATTGTGATTGTTTGCACAATGTTACACGATTTTATTGGTCGCTACCACGAGTATGATTTGTACTTCAATATGCCACAAACCAACATGCAATATGATAGTGATTTAATGAAGTGGAAGCCAAGCATGAATACCCCAACTTGCATGCAATGGTTTGGGAAAGAGATCAAGAAGATGCCACCAGCAACTTATGAAAAGCACGTTCAAGAAATAACGATTATCAAATTTATATTTCCTTTATTCTATCCTAACGTTTTACTGTACTCTTCATAGGTAATGAGAAAGATGTTGATCTGCTTAATATGAAGCAGTCTCCCATTTGGCATGCTCGAAGTTTGGCCTCAAGGAATCTCTATGGTAAAGCAGCATGGTTGTCTCTTTAGTTTAGCATGTAATGCATTTTATGTAAACTCGTCCAAATCTAGAATCTTATAAATTGGTATAACGTGTTTTACTGATTATTGAGTTTGACATGGAATTTTTTTAAATTGTGACATGCAATTTGATATTAAGAACTGCATACAGTTCCCCTATTTGAATTCACAGTGGAACAAAAATTATTTGAATGTATTTAAGTTGCTTGTACTAACTAATTAGCAATCACTGCAGGAAATCCTTACTAACGAGTAATTACCTTACATCATTACAAATTAGTGATTGCTCCAAGTAGTATTAGTGAAGAATTAATTCAAGCGAATATAGCCTTAAAGATATTATCAATATGTCCTAGTATTAATTTTCTATTCCTGCTTGTCAAACAATTTGCTAGGTTTAACTACCAGCATACTAACAAAAAGGGTTTCAGGATTTAACCAACTCAGGATTTAATAAATCCAGATTCATAGGATATACTAAATCCTACTATCAGCCAAAAAGTCCCTAACATAAGTTATGGAGAACCTGGAAATTGATACGGAGAAACATTGTTAAAGTAATATTTTTAAATAAGAATTTGCAAAAATGTATAGAGAATGACAAAATTATAAATGACAAAATATTTCCAATATAAAATCAAAACAAGCTATTTTGAATTGATGACCTGAGTAGTTTTACCGCAACCAGTCTCACCAGATATCAGTACCACCTGCTTTAAGTGGGAAAGCACTTGTCAAATCAGTTGAAAAGCATAGTACAGAATATCATAACAAAAGAAAAGTAAAACTTCTGGTAAGGTAAAATATAGAGAGAAAAACCCCAGAAAATGTACTTGAGATGATAATTAAACAAAATGCATATTGTTGAAAGGCTGCCATGCTAGTGATAGAATGTAAGCATTCATGTAATAATGGGTTTAAGTTTCTACGAGTTGTTATACAGCACCTCCATCATTCATAGACCCAAAAAATCAAAACTAATTTCCTCACAAAAAAAAAAAAAATGCTAAAATCAGAATTAGCTCACTTCTTACGTATTATAGTTGATTATAAATTGTATCTAAGGTGCCCATGACCAAGCAAATTTAACTTATAGAGCAAGTCATTATGTCTAAAGTACAATTCCTAGACATAAAGTACACAGTCCATGAAGCTGCACTATTGCATGATCTCTAGAAGGAGTTGACCTGTACAGCCTTAACCTTACTCTTGTTAATATGACGCTTTCCCGATTATTGAATAAGTACTCCCAAGTTTTTTTCTTTCTTTTAAGAAAAAAATTGCACTACATGCACAGTAAGATTCATGCAACATAAAATAGTGGTGGGACATTCTTAAGTGAATAAGATTCTCAACACACCTATCTATTATAAAAACCCAGCGTTAACTCCAAGTTATATCCTTAATGTTAATAGTCGAGATTATTCACTTTGATATTCACGTTCCCATTAAAGTATCTTGACTCATAACTGCAGGTGACCGCCATTTTTGTATTAATCTATATCAGAACATTTTCCTTGTCAAAAGAAATGTATTTTAAAGCTTCCTTAAATAATTTCTTCAAGAAATGGAAAAATTCCATTCTATAAAACAAGTATCGATTAGTGACTCTTAATACAAATAACTTCGATATCAACAAAAACAATGGTCCACAACCAACTTGGACGTCCGGGAGCCTTGTGAACAAGGAGATTCTCTAGGAGTTCATTGAGACATGGACCGTGTTAGTTTATCAGTTATATATTTTTCTCCATCTCAAAGTCAACATGAAAATAAAGTAGAAGTATTTAAATAAATCGAATAAAAAAGATTTTCCCTGCAGAAAAAGAAGGGCATACTGTTTAATAATCCATTTTGAGAAATTGGGTAAAAATTTTGACAATTTAAAATATACCCCAATTTTCATATCCCTCATATTTCAATCAAGCTAATTTTATAAAATTCTACGAGTCAAATCAACCAATTTGATATAAAGCACTATATATAAATTTTGAATAAATTGGAAGATATAAAATTTGAAAGTAATAAGTTTAATTAACTTAATTAAACTCTTAACTATCCTTAATCCCGCACTCATACAATAGCCACCGCCTTACTCACAAGATATCAAGTCGGGGGCCATAGTCGAAGGGCTAGGATCCTTGTTCTCGAAACCCTTTCCCCCTTCTGATTCCCCTCCATGTTTGATCTCGCAATTCTTCTGCAAATTCCCACAAGAAGACTGCAATCCTGCGATGTAGCAGGCGAGTCCAACGGCACCTAGGAAGCCGCACAAGCTGCAATAAAATGCGTCCCACTTCCTCTTTCCTCTCCTGATCATCCTTCTCTTTTCTCCCCTTCTCTCTCGCGTCGTTCCTCTCTGTCGAGGGAGCCCGCGACACTAGCTACGGTGTTGGAGTCAGGATTATGTGCAGGCGCATGACAGTGTACCGCCGATTAGGTTTCCGAGCCGAGGGACGAAATTAGCAAGAGGAAATCCATATTTTACACTATTTAAGATATTTCCTTCCTTCTTAGCACTTTCATTTTGAGATTTGCCACAAATTGTGCGTATTTTTCATCTCCAGTAGACGTAGCGGATACCAAGTTGCGTCCAGAGCGACAAAATTGATCGTGGGTTTCCAAATTGACTTCTAATCTGAAATCAGCAAGGTTGGGAAGATTAAGCCAAGATAAGAAGTAGAGAGAGAGAAGTTTCGACAACTTCGGAGAAGGGATGGGTTACTGAGAAACCAGTTGACGTACATTAAGTTAATCAATTATATTTCTAGTTAATTACTTTACGAGCCAAGAAATATTTAAATCTGAAGTTAATTGCGCATTCCAGGTTATTTGACCAGCACGACAGGCTCGAGATGAGATTGTGAAAATTCACTGTAAAGTGACCTAATAAATTCCAGTAAAATAATTCTAAGCGAAGAAGAATAATTTGTTTAACAAGAATTGCTTAAATTTTATTGTCTAATACTATGTTTTATAAGTTATTAAATTCAACATAAAGTTATCGCAATGTCAGCTAGTTATGAAGATTAAGAATTTTGCGTGACAATCGAGGTGAGTAATTATTTTTTTAAAATTTCAGTACTATTCAATATTTCAAAATGTATGTTTGACTTCCTAAATGTTCATGTTTAGTTAGATCCTTCATATTATTAGTCAGGATAAATATGCATGAAATATATGTATGAGATGTATAATATATATAATATGCATGATTTGCAAGATAGAAATGATATGATAGATACTCATGGTATGCACGATGAAAAATGATATGCATGATATAAATAACAGATATGCATAAGATAGAAACATTTATGATATGAATTATGTATGATGAATAGTTGCATAGCACAGTAAATATGTATGTTAGTAGATGCATAAATATGTCTCACAATATATGCATATTCAGAGGAAGATTTCACCCTCAAATGGTAGAGGTTGGGGACGACAGTATATCATGGTGCATAGAATTTTACTACTGCCCTAGACAAATTGTGATAATTAGATCACTAACCTCTATACCGACGAGATAATATCGGTCAGAGGTGAGTAGACTATAGTTTACCTCCCCAAACAACTATGATGTTTACATTGGTAACTGTTGTGTCAAAGGAATAATAGCGGCTAGGAGCAGGTAACTGCCTTAACACCCTAAACAATTGTGATGTGCAAATCACTAATCGCTGTGCCGACGGGAAATTATCAGCCAAGGGTGTATAAGATTTTGTTAACGGTGATCCTCACAGAGACAAAAATGTATATAAAAGTATAAAATAAAAGTAAAGATAAATGCATAAAGAAGACTAGTGTATGTTCATTTAGAAAAAGGTCTTTGAAACTTGAATTAGTATATATAAGATTTTTTATAAAAATATGAAAGTTTAGTGTATTACAAGATTTTTTTATAGAGACATGAAGGACCAACATATTGTATTCTTTTCATTCGATTACTTTAGTTTAGATGTGTGATTACTCATGTGTTATCTAATTATGTTGCTTTAATTTTATTTTTAGGTTTTAGTCATTTGAATAACACTGTCATTGTCAGTCCCAAATCCAGAGTGAAAAGTAGAGGGTTGCGCTAGGTAGTCGACTGCTAGTGTAAAACTTGACGAAATAAAATCATGACATGAAAATTTGTATAAGTATTAGGGTGTCCTCTAGAAGCGATGCGTTGTATGGCCTGAATACAGTAAAAAGTGTGCAAGAGCCGCTACCCCGGCGCCCGGGTGTAGTGTCAAATAAACAAGGATTCTCACATTACAGACGGATGTGGTTAAATAAGTTAGTTCATGAAACTAATATTATAATAGGATCTTGACATATAAGAACTCAAAATGATAAATTAACGGAATTAGTTGATATTATGATGCATCGAAAGATTAATATCTTATGTATTCAAGAAACCAAATTGATTGGAGAAAAGGCTAAAAAGATTAATAACATAGGATTTAAACTTCGGTATTTTGTGAGGAGTCGCACTAGAAATCATGTAGGTATAATTATAGATAAGATTTTGAAAGATAATGTTGTAAAAATTAATAAAGTTGGAGATAGAATTTAGCCCTTAAGATTATTGTTGATACTATGATTTTTAATATTTTAAGTGTTTATGCTCCTCGAATAGGTTTAGATATAGAGTCTAAAGATAAATTTTAAAATGACTTGGAAGAGTTAATACAAATGATACCTTTTGAAGAATGATTTTTTATTGGAGGAGATTTAAATGGACATGTCAGTAGAGTGGTAGAAGATTTCAGAAATATTCATGGTGGCTATGGTTTTAGAGTGACCAATGAAGAAGGTAGAGCTCTTTTAAATTTTGTTTTAACGTATGATTTTGTTATTACTAATACTTTATTCAAAAAAAGAGATGAGCAACTTATTACTTAAAAGAAAAGAACTAATAAAACACAAATTGATTATTTTTTTATGAGAAGAAGAGATCGTCGAGATTGTAAAGATTGTAGAAATTGTAAGGTCATTCCAAACCCAACCTCGATTATTAGTTCTAGATTTTAAGATGAAGAGTTGTAAAATAAAGAATAGTAGGACTCATCATCGTGTAGGACTCATCATCGTAGAACTCATCATCGTAGAATTAGATGGGAGAACCTAAAAGACACAAATAAAATTATTTTTATAAGTTAAATTCATGATTTCAAAATTTGAGATTTTCATGAAGAAGTGAATGTTATATAAAAAAGTAACAAACACTATTAAACAAGTAGCAAAAGATGTACTTAAGGAATCAAAAGAAAAAGTTTCTATAAATAAAAATAGTTGATGGTAGAATAATAATGTGCAAGAAAATATATTTTAAAAATTGGTTAATGTAAAAGCTTAGAGAACTAGCAAAAACATCAAATGGCCCGCAAAGAGTCTAAAAAAACAATCTGTGACGCTAAAAATTCTGCTTTTAGTGATCTTTATAACAGATTAGATACTAAAGAGGGCAAAAATATATGTATAAACTAGTCAAACAAAGAGAAAATAAAAGTAAAAATTTAACTCAAGTGTATTAAAGATAATGTTTTCTTATAACCAAGGGTGGAAAGTCCGTAGGACCTGATGATATCCCATATGAAGTGTGGAAATTTTAGGAAATTTGGGAATTTCTTGGCCTACTAAACTCTTTAATAATATTTTAAAAATTAAAAAGTTGTCTAGTTTGTCGAGTGGAGGAAAAGTATTCTGGTCCTCATTTTTA